CCTCCGGTCAGAGCTCTAATTGCATGATGATGAAATTAACAGACTTGTCGCGGCATTCAACCAGGACATGGAGGTGCACGTCCATATAAATATTTAATATTTGGCTTGTGCTTATTTTTCCTAGTTTCTTTATTATCACATTATATTATATTAGATTATAAATCATTATTAACATCCCTTTAAGTCATATATTGGCATTATAGTGCTTTTATTGATTCATATCATTTACATGTTTACATGGCTTGTCTGATTTATGAAGTGGCTTGCAAGAAACTAATTGTTGATTAAATCACAACCCGACTCGGGGTTAAAATTATCAAGGCATGAATAGTGTTGGATGGTAAATTCAATTACAGAGGCTTTCAAAATTGTTAAAATTAATTATTTAATAATTTGAAATAGCCATTAACAAATAAAATTCAAACCAACTTAAAAGTAAAAAAATATGAATGTATTTAACTTCCTCTAATTTGCCCATACTTTCTATATATTTTTTTAAATCACTAGAATTTATCTCAAATGATTTAAATCTTCATGAATTATCAACAACTAAAATTACAGTTACATAAAGAAAATAGAAAATATTATGGATGCTTATCAAATATAGTTAATCAATATAGAATCATTTGGTAATTTATATATTCAATGAAGAGCATTCAAGAAATTTTAAAATAATATATTCTATTGTATAATACCCTATCTTATCAATATTGCTTTATATAAGTACATCATTTAAAATATTTTAATATAAATAATATTATGTAGTTTGTGTCTATGGATGCATTAGCATCTCTAGTTAATATCATATAACTTAACATGCATATGCAAGCCTTTTATATAGATTATTATTTTTATATATTTATATATCATTCATATCTAAGTTTAACTTTATATAACATAGATAAAATGTTGAAAACATATAAGAAATCCACATGATTCACTTCAACAGGATCAATATATTATATAAAAAAAATGATACATAAATGAATTTATAATAGTAATTGACTAGATACTAATAATCGTTGATGACTAAGATTCATAAAAACTAAAAATATTATCATGTCTGAATACTCACCTCAAATATTCGATAATTTGAAATTCCAACTTTTTACTACCTCCTTCAATTTAACACCTATAAAAACATATAAGATAAATTAATTTATTTATATTTATTTCCTTTTACTATAATTTCATGTCCATTGTAAGACTTATTTACCCTTCTCTTATTTAATTATATAAATTTTCATTATATTTAGAATCATCTAATGTCCTTTAAAACATAGCATTATTCTTAAATTACAAGATTTAACTTTAAACTACTAAAATCTTATATAAATATATAATTTATGGATCATAGCTTATCCTACTAATATAGACATACATACAATGCATTAAATTGATCTATTACTTATTTCATAAACAGATTATTACAACTATTTTAAAGAATAATATTACAACTATTTTAAACAGATTGCAACTAATAATCTATTACTTATTTCATTTTTTACTTCCGGACCCCCCCC